GTACTTTATAGCGAGTACAACCCAGTTAGGGTTTCCTATATGTATCTCAACTGCTGTTAGTGAAAACCCCTCCTATCTGTTTCTCGTCTTAGCCTGCTATTTTGACATGGTCTGTGCGTATAACACTATGTGTCCCCTCTAGGTAGCACCTCCATACCATATATGCATGGATGATCGCGAGCCCCTCCTTGTCGTGTATGGGATAGTTCAACTCCGCTCCCCTAAGCTTACGCGACTCGTACGCAATCGGCTGCAACCCGCGTCCCTGGTCCTGACGAAGCATTGCTACGATGGCCTGATCTGCTCCGTCGGTCACTACAACGTATGGGCGAGTGGGATCAGGGTACGACAGTGTCGGTGAAGACGTGAGCGGCTGCTTGATCTGCTCGAACGCTTGCTGCTGCGCTGGACCCCAAAGAAACTCTACGCCCTTCCGAAGTAGGTCGGTGAGGGACTAGCGATCGATGGTAGTAATTCGCGAATTCGAGAAAGCTCTGCAACTCCCTGACTGAGGTCGGAGCTATCCAGTTCTGTACTGCTGCGATCTTCTTCGGGTCGGTCCTAATGCCACTAGCGGATACGACATGTCCTAGGAACTCGACCTCAGGGAGGAAGAACTCGCACTTCGACTGCTTTGCGTACAACTGCTCCCTCCTCAAGACCTCAAAGACCTTCTGCAAGTGCTGCACGTGCTCCTCTTTTGTCTTGGAAATTGCTAACATGTTTATGAGCGTCTGAAGCGCCGCTGGGGCGTTGGTCAAACCGAACGGTAGAACCCTAAACTAGTACAACCCCTGCTTCGTACGAAACGCCGTCTTGTGCTGGTCTTCTGGACGCGAATCTGATGGTAGCCCGAACGAAGGTGGATCGTTGAATGGACTCTAGCGCCCTGCACCGCATCAAGAAGAACCTCTACTCTCGACACCGGGAACCTATTCTTGACGGTGGCGGCGTTCAGTGCACGGTAGTCTATGCACATCCTTAACCCCCCATCTTTCTTGGGTGCGAAAAGGATCGGTGCTGCCCAATGCGATCTAGATGGTTTTATGAACCCCTGCGCGAGAAAGTGCCTAACCTGCTGCGTCATCTCCTCTGTCTCCGCTGGACTCAACCTCCACTGCGGCTTTGCTACTGGCCTACTTCCCGGCTCCAACTCTATTCGATGGTCTACTGCTCGGCAGGGAGGTAACCCTGGGGGCAACTTGTCGAGGAAGACGTCTGCGAACTCTGCTAACAGTGCACTCACCTCAGTAGGACGAGTCACCTTCTCACCAACTGCTACGCTCCCCCCTTTCCCCTCCTCAGCTTCCACCTCCTCAACGAAAACTGCAAAGATCCGTGCCGCTCGCTTCACCAACTGTCGCACACGAACGACATTGATGATAGCTGTGGATGATGTGGCCCCATCGCTCCAGTGTGGCAGCTCCCGGAACTCGCCATCTACCTTGACGCTGCAGCTTCCCTGAGCCCAATTGAGCTGAGTACTAACCGTCCACAACCAATCTCTACCGAAGATGAAGTCGTAACCGTGCAGCGTCACAGAGTCGAAATTGTTTGAGGGCCCTACGACAGCAAGGGCTCTCGATGAACTTTGACTTGGCAGGTTGGCGCCTAACGTCTGAGTCTACTAGGCACCGACGCATGAGTTCGGTGGCGGTCACTAGTGTCTACGGGTGACTGCGAGCTACTGCAGTAAACTTGGCGGAATCGGTGCTAGGAATGAGTCTTGGGAGTCGTAGGTGCCTTGCCTGTGAGGCACGCTGCTCCTTTGCTGTGTTGGGTGGACAAGCGTGCACGACGAGGGCTTCTGGTGCCAAGTTAGGTTGGAAATGTGCGCGGCGCGTTCATCCACCTGCACAGCACTTTCGTGTAGGTTGGGTTACTCGCAGTGCCACGCAACACTACCGAAACGCTACCGAGTTGCTAGCGCAACACCATCGTGTTAGTAGAAGCTCTCTCACCGTCGTAACGCTCTCCATAGTATTCATTCATGGTGCGGGGAGCGTGGAACGAACACGCATATATTTCCGTCGTCGATTTTACTATACGTTCTTATTAAATTAAGTTGAACCTCTCTTAATTTCCCTCCAGTTACGTTCTCGGACCCAAGGATAGGGCGTTTGGTAATTTATTACCACTCGTCTGAGGACCCTTGTGAGGTGACCCCGAGACGTCGTAGAGGATGAGTACGAAGGAGGCGGACGTTGAGGCCGGATCTTTTCGCGCACTAGAGGAGGATCTCGTGGCTCGTCGTTCTCGTGGTTAGCTTAGTAATGTAGATTACGAGCTCATGTTGGAGGGATTACGCTCTCGTCGGCGTCGCGAGCATCCCTCGCCACGTGTAGAACAAGCTGCGGGAGGAGCTAGTGCGTGGGATATGGTTGTCGATGGCTTGTTGGGTTGATGTCGCGTGGGGTCCTGCGAGGACCGACTCGGTTTAGTACGGCTAGCGTCGGCGGTATACAGGAGCGTGTTCATCGCGCGGCGGCGTCACACGAGCGTGCGAACGCAGGACGACAGAGCGTTGCTGGAGGAGGGAATGCTGAGGAGTACGATAGTGAGGCTATGCCGGGCGTTACCCTGATTGGATCGATGGCGAGGGGCGAGGGAATAGCCCCCAACTACGGCTTCTTCAAATTCACTCCAGACAAGATCGTCATACCTAGGCCGTAAGAAGGGCGCCATGTCCTGTCGACGTGGGTAGAATCAATCGAGACTCAGCTTGAGGTCGCCCAGCTTAAGCGATTCATCGACAGTACCACACCCGCTCCCCCAGCGCATGCAGTTGCGCTTGTCACACAGATTCGCGCAATTCAATTACTGGTTCACGACGATTTCCCGATGCTGCTCCCCAACCGTACAGATCGCCCTTAAGGCGTGTCGCATGAAGGTAGATGCCGGCTTTTAGGTGTGGCAGTTTATCATGCACACGTATATGGCGAAGGACGACCTGTACATAGGTCAGTTAGAGTAGGCGCTCACTAACCTCGTGATGGGAGAGCACGAGTCCGCCACGTCCTATTGCAACCGTGCACAGCAGATCCTAGTGAACCTGAGGATGGCCGACGTAGATTACTCGCAGGCGTCGTACATTACTCAAGTTGTGAAGGGGTTGCCACAGCAGTACAACCTCTTACGCAGGATGTTGAAGCTGCCGTAGGTGCGGAAGGAGCTGGACCAGGACACCCTCGCCAGTTACATAATCGAGGAGGAGTGTACGTTGGCGGCGGAGGGACGGACGGACCAATTTCTTCCCCAGGCGAACAAGGTGTTTACCAAGAAGGGTAAGCCCTATTTCCAGCTGACTTCGTCCCCTTCCCCTCCCACTACGGCAGAGCAGCAGCAGCCTAAGCATGGGGTTGGGGTTAGTGAGGGAGGGGAGAAAGGGAAAGGGGCTAAGGGTGGCCAGCCGAAGGGGGGGAAAGGAGGGTTCAAGGGGAATTGCTATGTGTGTGGACAGCCAGGGCATATCGTTAAGCACTGCCGGGAGCGGGTGGATAAGGAGGCGGACAAAGGTGGAGAGGGTTCTAGAGGCAGCAGCGCGAGCGGCAAGGGGGGTGATGGCTCTAAGGGGAGCAGGCAGTCATCCTGTGCGATGGTGAAACCCGTTGTAGAGCATCCTCCTCCCATCATGTTTGAGCCTGAGGCAGGGGAGGACTTACAGGCTGTTGCAGCTGCTATGAAGGTGAACCCAAGCGTCGTGCTACTTGATAGTGGATGCTCCCACCATCTCATGGGAGATCGCTCTGCCTTAGTGGAGATGAGCAGCGGCGGCGGTATCAAACAGGTTAAGGGTTTCAACGGCGCTCTTCAGGAGGTGCAGGGGCGAGGCGCAATTGCTCTGCTTGGAGAGGGGCAGGCGCGTCTTGGTGCCAGACGTGTTGTACGTACCAGGAGTGCAGGCGAGTCTTCTAGATGCCGGGGATGTGACTTTGCTGCGGGCAGCAGATGGATCGCTCCTTGGTCGTGCGGAGTTCAAGGGGCGTGTTCTCTGCACGAACTTCCAGCCGTGTCCGACGCAGCAGCAAGAAGGTGAAATGGTGGCACTTTGTACCTTGGCGACAGGCGTGCGGTCTAAGGCGGACATGTGGCATGCGTGTATGGCTCACGTTGGTATTGATGACATCGAGCGCACAGCGGCTCACGGGTTAGTGAAGGCCTTGGATCTGGAGAAGGGGGGCAAGTCAGGCATACCTTGTGTCTCCTGTGTTGGGGGGAAGATCACCCGTAATACCTTTCCTTCTGTGGGTGAGGAAGAGGATGAGTTGCTTGGATTGGTGCATGCTGACCTTTGTGGCCCTTTCCGTGAAGCATCTAAGGACGGCAGCCGCTACTCCTTGGTGCTGAAGGATCGTAAGTCGCAGTACGTTTGGGTCTACCCCTTGGCTCAGAAAAGTGATGCGCTGGCGGCGTTCCAGAAGTGGCTCCCGATGGCAGAGCGGCAGTGCAAGACTACGGTGCAGGCGCTGCGCACTGATCGGGGTGGCGAGTTCTTGGGGCACGACTTCACGCTCTTTCTCGACAAAAAAGGCATCCTCCACGACCTCACGTGCCCGTACACGCCGGAGCAGAATAGGATGGCCGAGCGGGAGATGCGCAGCATTGTGGAGGTTGTGCGGACGATGTTGCTGCACATGTGTGTGCAGCATCGCTGTTGGCACCTGGCGCTGGCGCAAGCCGTCTGGGTGCGCAACCACATGGAGCACGCCCTCTGGTGTGACGCCGTACGAGCTCACCTTCCGACGCAAACCCGATGTCAGCATGGTGCGTGTATGGGGCTGCATGCTGCAGAACATGGAGCCGCAGTCGTAGCGTGAAGGAAGTTGGCGGCTAAGGCACGCTGGGGGTTGCACTTGGGAGTGTCAGCAGCGAGCAAGGGTTGAACCACGCTGGACTTGGAGTCCAACCGCCTCATCACCACCGTGGAAGCTGTGTTCTATGAGACCATATCCCTAGCAGGATGGAAGGCTTGGCACCAGCAGGAGCATGCGGGGCGTCCGATGCCCTATGAGCCCTTTCCCTCAGTCTACCCGATCACTCTTGAGGAGGCGGTGGAGGAGGAGGAGGTGATCGCACCTCCTGCTATGCCCTATGTCCCTACTTCGGTCCCCACCCCACCTCCGCCTTCCGTTTACCCCCGTGTGGTTCCCCCTGCCCCGCCTTCTGCCCCTGCCTCACCCCCTTTGGCTTCCGCGCCTCCTCCTGTTATTCCCTCTCCCCTTCCACCCTCCATCCCTCCTGCCCCTGCTCCATCCTCCTCTTCATCTTCCACGGTGCCGCCCGTTGGTGAGGGGGGGATAGTGGTGCCGCCGTCTATGGTGATCACCGACGTGCAGCGCCTTGTGACTAAGCAGCTGCAGGAGGAGAGCAGTATGGATGGAGTGCAGCAGAGTGGGGGGATGGAGAGTGGGGAGCAGCAGATAGGGGAGGAGCAGATTGGGGACCAGCAGATGGTGGACCAGCAGCCAGGGGAGCAGCAGACACGAGAGCCACAGACGGGGGAGCAGGAGATGTGGGGAATTAGAGATGGTGGTCGTGTGGTGGCTTTTGGGACGATCACTGCACCGCTGCGTCGCTCCACTCGCATCACTCGTGGTGTCCCGCCTGTTCGCTATGCTTGGGCTGTAGTGGTTGAGCCGGCGGGTTTGGATGACGAGGAGGAGGACGAGGAGTGGACGGACCTGGACCCAGACGTGGTGGCCGACCTTGAGAGGGAGTAGGATATAGCAAAGATGACAGTAAAGGAGGCATTGGGCTGCTGGAAGGGCGACAAGGTGAAAGAGGCGACTGATGAGGAGATGCAGAGCTTGATTGAGCAAGGGACGTGGGAGTTGGTTCCGCGTCCTCCAGGGGTGAATGTGATGAAGAACTGCTGGATTTTGAACACCAAATTCTGACCAGATGGGATAGTGGAGCGAGAGAAGGCGAGGTTGGTGGTGAAGGGGTTCATGCAGGTGGCAGGGGTGGACTATGAGGAGACGCCCCTGTGGGAAGCTATGTGACGGCACGTGTGCTTCTAGCGATTGCAGCTGCACTTGATTTGGACCTGATGCAGCTGGATGTGAAGAATGCGTTCCTCCACGGCGTGCTGGACCGAGACCTTTACATGGAGCAACCGGGCTACTACGAGGATGGGACTCCTCGTGTCTGTAAGTTGGTGAAGAGTCTGTATGGGCTCAAGCAGAGCCCGATGCTGTGGTATGAGGCCTTGGATGGGGTGCTGCTTGGGGCTGGATGGAAGAAGAGCCAGGTGGATGAGGTTCTGTACTTCAAGGGTGATGCTGAGGGGGAGATGTGCTGGCTGCTGGTGTATGTGGATGATTTGCTTGCTGCCAGTCGCAGTCAGAGCATGCTGGGGGAGCTGCGTAAGCTGTTGCAGAGTGCGTTTCAGTCGCGGGAGATTAGCCCTGTGGAGAAGTACTTAGGGTTGCAGCTGCTTCGGGACAGGCCTACGAGGAGGCTGTGGCTGCGCCAGGGGCCCTATGTGGACAAGGTCCATATGCGCTTCTTTGACGGGGAGCAGCCGCTGCGAGTGCCTCGCACCCCTCTTTCCTCTGACCCTTTCAGTGTGCAGACCTTCGAGGATGTAGGATGGCAGTCTCGCCAGGAGGAGGAGTACAGGCAGAAGGTGGGATCCTTGCAGTTCGCAGCCTGTACCACTCGCCCCAACATCCCTTTCGCCTGCAGCAAGTTGGGGGCCAAACTGTGCGGAGTGATCAGCACTGGAAGGAGTTGGACTGGTGCTTGGCGTACTTGGTGGGGAGCAAAGATGTGGCGCTGGAGTTTGGTGGTGGGCCGGAGTCCTTGGAGCTGGTGGGCTACGCTGATGCTGATGATGTGGGAAATATGCAGAACAAGACTAGCACTGGTGCTCGGAGGTGCTGCTGTCTCTTGGGCGAGCCAGAGGATTCGTTGCGCCACCCTCTCCTCCACTGAGTCTGAATACGTTGCTGCTGTGGAGGCTAGGAAGGAGGCGTGCAGGCTGCGCTTCCTGCTGGCAGAGTTTCAACTGCTGAGGAGTGAGGAGCCCACTACTCTCTTTGTGGACAACTCCTCAGCCATTTCAGTGGCAGGTGGCATGGGGCTCAAGGGGAGCCTCAACCACATGGAGCGTCGCCACATGTGGCTGCAGCACATTGTCAGAATCCCAACCACTAGACCATTGGGATAAAAGGGCTTGTTTTAGTAGCGGGTCAGTGCGCCCATAACCCCCCAGACAAACGCGCCTGTAACCCCCCCTAGGATCGACCGGGGATCTCACAGTGTAGCTCTACTGACACCCCCCCACACTGGGAGGCCCAGGACTGAGCACAGTGGCAACGGCCAACATGTGCATACACCGGGATTCGAACCCGAGACCGCTCTGATACCATGTCAGAATCCCAACCACTAGACCATTGGGATAAAAGGGCTTGTTTTAGTAGCGGGTCAGTGCGCCCATAACCCCCCAGACAAACGCGCCTGTAACCCCCCCTAGGATCGACCGGGGATCTCACAGTGTAGCTCTACTGACACACATGGTCAAGCGCAGGAAGCTGCAGCTGCAGTACATCCCTACGAGCGAGCAGCCTGCTGACTACCTTAGCAAGGCGTTGCATTTCCCCGCCTTCAGCCGGTGCTTCAAGGCTGTGGGGCAGGTGAGGCTCTCGAGCAAGGGGAGTGAGATACTTCATGATGTGGATGGTGCCATGGCCTATCCATGGCTGGTGCGGAGCGTGTTTGCACTTTTAGAGTGCTTCGTTTGTGTGTCTCTCCCTTTGTTTTGGTGTGTATGTGTGTATGCATGCCCTATGATTATAAAGGGCCTTGCTGTAGTATGGCAGGGGAGTGTTGGAGGGCCCGATGATAGCAAGGGCCCTCGATGACCTTTGACTTGGCAGGTCGCCGCCTAACGACTGAGTCTACTAGGCACCGACGCATGAGTTCGGTGGCGGTCACTAGTGTCTACGGGTGACTGCGAGCTACTGCAGCAAACTTGGCGGAATCGGTGCTAGGAATGAGTCTTGGGAGTCGTAGGTGCCTTGACTGTGAGGCACGCTGCCCGTTTACTGTTTTGGCTGGACTGGCGTGCACGGCGAGGACTTCCGGTGCCGAGTTGGGTTGGAAATGTGCGGGGCGCGTTCACCCACCTGCACAGCACAATCGTGTAGGTTGGGTTACTCACAGCGCTACGCAACACTTGTGAAACCCCTCGCCTGCCTATATATGTTTGTGTTTGCCTGTGTGTTTCATATATGAGATTACATTTCTAGTGAAGTCCAATTGCTACTCAAATTCTCACTAAGTCCTTGGAGACGAACACTACCGAAACGCTACTGAGTTGCTAGCGCAACACCATCGTGTTAGTAGAAGCTCTCTCGCCGTCGTAACGCTCTCCATAGTATCAGAAATCACGCCTAACTGTGATCGGTCCTAGCACTACGCTCAACTTGCGGATGATCGGTCCTATGTGAAAAGACGTCCCATCTACCATGCGAGCATCCTTGAAGTTCACTGCTGAATCCACTTCGAGATGGAGACAACTAACTAGCAAAGATGAAACGAACGAGTGGCTAGCTCCGCTATCTACGAGAATCTTAACTGGAACTCCACGAAGCTTCCCTAGAAGCACGACAGGACGATCAACAGCGTCTACCTCGTTCGGCGTAGATGTCTGCTCTAAGGCCGTCTCCTCTACGTGGGTAGATGTGGCGGGTTCGGAAGCGTCCACACCAGCTAGCGACCCACTACCTACTGGCGGTTCCGTTTCCCTACTGCTGCTCCTTAAGCTATGGTTCATGTGTCCCGGCTTTTTGCAGTAGTGACAGTTCCCCCTAAAACCCGTTCTCGGTGAGCCGTCACTGTAAACTGCACCAATCTCCATGGGCGATGGTCCGTCCCTTGATCGAGCATCGTTGATCGGTCTGTTGTATCCCCTATCGCGATCGTCACGATCCCGTCGGCTTTGTACTGCGTCGACGCGTTCTGCTGCTACAACTACCGACTCGAAGGTGGACAATCCGTGAATCGCGATGATTTCCGCTATGTCCGGCTTCAACCCCTCGAGGTAGCGATCGCGCATCTCTGCTTCCGTGATATCGTCGATCTCGTTGCATATCCTCAGGAACCGTCGTGTATAGTCCTAGACATTTCCTATCTCTCGGAAATGACGCAGACGCTTCCTAGCAGCTTCGGAGTCATTCACCAAGTCGAATCTAATTTTCAGCGCCGCTTCAAATCCTTCCCATGTCGTCGGAACCGTGGTAACACCCAAAGCTAAACTCCCTAAGCTCAAAGTTGCAGCTGCATGCCCCACGCCCTATTGATGCCCGTCCAAATGAGCCCTTCTTATAGCAGTTTGCGTGAGTTGGTGCCACCACTCCAAGGCCGGGCCCCTCAGCAGCGTAACGGAGTACTCGATCCGCTGCTGCACGTCCGCCTCTTGCACCCCGCTTGCGGAGAAGTAATTGTTGAGCATGAAGATCCGCGTCCGCACGTTCGCGTCGCGTTGACTTGGGTCGAACGGCTCGAGCTTCTGCGGCTTGAGCGCGCATCGACGTTCCGGCATTGCTTCTGCGCTAGTCGACGTGTTGGGTGCAGAAGATGGTGGGCATGACCAAAAGAAATTGACGCGAATTTACAAAGCTGTTGCATTTCAGCCCGTACTTGACGATTTGCATGCGACAACGCTTCGAGTTGGCGCATGAGTTGGGCAAGCGCATTGCCCATGTCGTTGGGGAGAGCGCTCATGATCTCGTCCATGCTGGCTCGACGACTCCAAGTCTGCAAGTCGGCACCGTGGGACGATGACGTCGTAGTCTCGTCGTCGACGGTCGCTCGTTGGAAGTTGCTCCCCGCGAAGGCTCCTGATACCAAGTGTTAGGCCCCTTGGCCTAAATCCGCTAAAAAATAGCAGGGTCGGCTAAGTCGAGGATGAAAGCCGGCATAAGACTTTGGCGAAAAATCTATTGGCGAAATAGGCGAAGAGAGTTACTTAGTAGTTGAAGAGTTGAATGAGAATTGGTTGATAATGGCAAGTACAAGCAAGGTTTAAGTAGCATGCAAGAGCGATTGTTGTAAAGTACTTCATGGGACTAGAAAGTAGAAGGCAAGAAAGCTAGAGTGCCACGTGGCACTAGGAAATCTTGGAAATCTTGGATGGGTTGGATGAAGATAAGGTTGGGATGAGGTTGGGGAACTGTTTAGGGTAAACAACCCTTGAACAGTAAAATACCCCTTAATACTTTGAATGTGTGAGAATAGTAGGTGTGGGGCCTAGGCTTAGTAGCCTAGGCCCACACTAGGAGGTAGGTGGGCTTGCTCTAGAACTAGGAGTTAGGGTTTACGAAGGAGAATTGGAAGGAAGAATGACTGGACTAGCAAGCAGCAGGACACACAAATAGAAAACCCTAAGGGGTTGTACTCAGTATTGAGCACCCCGCTGCAGGCTAGACAAATAACATTCTGACACACCCCCATAGCCAAAGTGGGGTGTAATCAGCAGAGCAGGCAAAGTAGTACAAGCTCAGGGTGGATCACAATGTCACCACACATTCTGAGCACAAGTTAAAGAAACAATAGTTTAAAGTTAAGAATTATGAGCAAAGCTAGTGGTAGTCACAACGGGCAAGTGAGGAGGAGGAGAGAGAGTGAGGGGAGAGGAGATAGGAGGAGACGGCTGAAGCTGCAGACACACGGGCAACAGGAGGCAGACTGGCACAGCGGCTACCAGACTAAGCGC